GTCCAAAGAACTGTATATACTCCTCTGCCAAGAACAAGAATATCTGTTCTCTAAATATATTTATAAAAATAAATTAGAATACAAGCATACTATAAATATCATAAAATTATACAGATAAGCTGTGAAATTCAAACACAAGCAACCTAAGTATAACATGCATTTGTGAGTACCTACACTGCCTTCTCTGGTCTTTATAGGAACGCACGCGAGTGTGTGTGTGTATTAGGTAATTTTTTGATATATTCACCCTTTACTTATTCAACTAAGCATTTTTGCAAATTCTAATTTGTGGAAAATGTATGTTTATTATATTATTATATTTTCCAATACTTTGATTTTTTTTTCATATATTTAAAAGCATCTTTTATAAATATCATATTTTTTTTTTTTTTATAGTAACTTAATTTTTTCGTTCATATTTTTTTCATTATTTTTGAATGGTTCATATTGAAATGTTTGTATAGTATAAAAAGTGTAAAATAATTAGTTTATTATATATAGTTAGTATAAGCATTTTAATTAAATCTACGTTATCTCGAGGCAGTTGAGAATAGCGATTAAATGACAAATTATATTGTATTATCAAAAGTTAATAATAATTTTGTCATACCAACCAAAGAAGTTATACTAAGACTATCAAAATTAATTTAAATAAATCCTAATGTACTGGTTCGCTTTTCGACCATGTTACATAAAATATTCCAAAAAAATTAACTCAATAATTATTTATATATAAAAAAAAAAAGATGGTCCAGTTTGAAAAATAAAAGTTAACATTGCCTTAGAATACTCCTTAAGATGTAAAAAACAATTCATATGTTGAAAATAAAGTCTTATAGAACACATACATGTTCTATAACTCTGAATTCGATAAAATGCATATTTCTAGCATAAAAACGTATATGCATGTTTAAAATATCATCCTGTATATATGTGCGTTCTAGGATAACTATTACGGAAGAACGTATGCAACACGTAATACGATGTTTCGCACTCGTTTTGCGCAGCTGCTTATATCTTTGAATCACAAAATTGCTACTAATGTGCCCTCAAAGACCATATGGCCTGATTAAAATTGTTTTGTACTAAACGCTAAAACAGTGATTTTTCAACGTCCGGATTCTACGTTGCCAGTCATTTTAATGAATAGCTTTATTGTATTGTAATAACGAGAATTTTACTGTTAATATATCCGATATTTTAGATTATTTGTATTTAATAGCAGATGACGAAATGCAATGCCGTTAGAACCTCACGCATGTCTAATCATTAACAACTCGAAATACTATCATTGGCCTACATTCTCGCGTCCCGCATGTTTATGGTCTTTTTTTACTTGCAAATTTGTTTATTGCATGTTTAATACATCTAAAATCTACAATAAACATACATTGACAGATAGTAAATATATAATTTTGAAAACTAAAAGAGATTATGTTTCTTTGTACAAAACCTTTGTAGAAAAAGTTTGCATTAATATTTGTGTGATTATAAAACGTTATTAAATAAACTAACCAGATTATGCTATCATGCTCACCATAATATATTTTAATCAATTAAGGTAATACAGGTTAATATAATTTAAATCATTTTCTTCTTCAAATTAGCTATTTCCACAAGCAAGTCCTTCTTTTTTTCCACATTGAATGCTAATTTAACAGATGCACTTAACATCCACCATTCTTGTATCTTCTCAACATCATCACTCTATCTCTTTTGCAGTCTACTTAGAAGTTTCTTCCAAATTATTCGCGTTATGATCTTTTTAGTTATATCTTCCTTAGCTCTCCAGATGTGTCATCCGAATCACTCCTTTATAATGGTTCTTAAATTATTAGAATAGTTGGTTTACATATAGCATGTGTGAATCAATGTATGGTTTGAATAATTAATAAACTTTAAGCGGTTTACCGTTTAAACTAACTATTGGAAAATAATACTGTGAACAAAATTATAACATTACTTTGGTCAATATTTAAAAATAAATATCTATAGAATATCTTAAAATTACATTTTAAGTACAGGAGTGGGCTGTGTTGATGTGAACTCATTGATTACTTCCTTTATATTTTTTAAATATTTTTTACAAAATATATACTTAAGTAAGACACAGTATGATGAAAAAGCAGACACTTATTTTACAATTATCAAAGCCATATTAGGTTGCAACTTCAAAATGAAACTTAAAAACATATTAATTTAAAAAATTATAATTATAGTGATAAGTATTATTGAGTATATTTAAATTGAGAAGTTTTAGGTAAATTTTAAGGTATAAGCTGTTTTTACAATATAAAAAGTAAGCAATTTCAAATTATTTAAAGTTATATATATATATATATTAGATAGCTTATATAATATACTTGTATATGCATAGATAGGCTTTAACTAGTTAGTTTATTTTCTAATAACATTTTTAAATTAACTAGTTTAACTCACAGTTAAAATAACTTCTCACAGTTGATTTAAAAATAATCCATCAAATTAAACAATTTTGAAATTTTTCGTTTATACGTAAATATAAATATAAAAATTGAATAATCATGTAAAGTAAAATTGTCGCATACACTGTACATCAGATATTATATTTGATTTTGTAGGTTGGGCTAATACCAATATCTTTGGGTATTGGTTCTCGCCATGGATATAGAATATTCTGTATAAAAAATTTTAACTATAAAAATAAATAAATACGGCAGTAAATGACCCCTTGATGTACAATGTCATAGTATTTTTCAAACACTTCGGCCCTACTGCTGTATATTAAGATAAAAAATTCAATAAAATTGTTTTTATAATTTAGGAAATTAGATCTTTCTAAAGAACGCAGTCATTTTTTATGTGAACTACATTATAATTAAAAAAAGTAGATAACATTTTTTTAAATTGAGTTAAGTGAATATTTTTTCCTTTATTAACTTTTAACTTATCGATCTTGTATTCTCTTCACTTAACTTAACTCGAGGTAATTATTTTCATTTACTTGCCTACCTTTACGTATATGTTCGTAAAATTAAAAAAACAATAATTAATAATATTAATAATATTGATCCATTATAAATATTAAGGGAATGTACATATTACTATTTATTGGCGTACTGAGAAAATCTTTTTCGAAAATCGCATTTTTTTAAGGGTTAAAATAGTTATGGACTCTATGCTAGATGTATAAATATTTACATTTTTTGGTTACCAAAAAAGTATTTTGATTAATATGTTTATTTTAATAATATTATCGATTGAGATATATGTAAATCAATGATAATAGTTTAAAAAATTAAAATAAATACCATTGTAATATACGATCTAGTAATTCAGCTAGTTATACTACAATATTAATGGATACTTTATTTTCAGAAAAACGTTATAGATTTGTTAGAAGTCTTTTTTTGTATATTTTTATTTTTATTTTCTTATTGAAGTTAAAACTTCGATAATAGGACCATTAACTTATATCACATTACTCAACATAATTAAACTGATGTACCTATACGAATTAATATATTTCTCAAACACTACAATTATTTTGGTGTTTGTAGGGGCCCAGTGCGTAATGAAGGTGGTCGAATTTTTGTCGAGTTTCTTGTGTGTCTGCATTATATTATGATGTGTTTGGTAGAATTTTAATAGTTGCATGTTCTAAATATTCTAGGTGTTTCTTTTTCTATAAGATAGAAATATATGTAGTATGTGTGACCTATTCTGAAGCGATTTTTTTGTAAATATTATAGTATGAACCATTTTTTACATTTAATTACATATAACGCTGTGGAGTTGAATAAAATACCTATTTCATTTTATGCAAACATTAAATTTGATAGTTTTATAAATAATTGGAAAGGATTTTGTTACGTTTTTTGAATAAATCGAAAATATTGTAGTTTATTATTTTTAATAAAATTGTATAAATATATATGTACTAACATTCATTAAACGTAATTTATGCGTACATAATAATATTTTATATATATATATATATATATATATGTATTTCCATCAATTTCGTTTAATAAATTAACACATTTGAAAGTAGTGTACGGCATATACAATTATCTACATCAAATTATTTTCAGTATTATGATTAAATATGTTTAACTTCTTAATATAAACCATATAATTTTTAGAATAAAAAGAAATTAGAGTAGATAGACATTCGTTATTAATTGCATCTGCTTTCACTATCAGTACAGATTTTAAATATAATGATTATTATTTAACTATTATTTGAGAAAAAATATTTTTATTTATTTTTAAATTCAAATTCGATGGTATTATATAAAAAATAGAAGTGGAATTACATTTATAATAAATATTTACACTAATATGCATACTTATATATGTTACCATAAATGCCCAATCACTAGGTAAACCTAGGTTTTACTAGTTAATGCTAGGTTTTATTGTTTGTACTCAGTAAATTCTGAAATTTTAAATTTTATTCGGGCTTTTACTAAACACGTTGTGTACATCCTAGGATATACAAATTGACTTAGTAAATGCTGATCAATACACGACACAACATTTAAGCTGCGTAAAAATTACAATTATATATTATTATAATTGATAAAAATGCATCTTAAGTTGTACATTTTTTCTGGAAATTACACCTCAAACATTTTTGCTCGCAACGATTAATAACAATTATTTTGCGAAGATAAATTTACGACTGCAATGTGTAGATATTAATAATTATCTAATAATTTACTAACGGATACGTTATCGCTTAGATATGGTTTTATTAGGTACATGTTTAGTCTGTTTGGATTTTACGTGATAGACGGATCTATTCGTAGAACAGTGTAATATGTGTTGTGCCTTGTGCGCATAATATTTATATTAAATTGTGTTTAATTAATGTAATTTTTAACTATATTTTCATTGTTAATTTGACTTAAATATGGCTAATATAGAAAGGTTTTATGACGTTTTAAATTCAATAATTAAAAAAAAAGATTCTAGTAATACTTTTTATTTAACACTTGAAATGTACAATACGTATTTACAAGAAGTTAAGAACGCAAAAACAATCGCTGTCAAAAAATCAATTCATTATCGGATATTAAAACGTTTTGATGTTATTTTTATTGGGAATGAAGACAAACTTATTTTTCCAGTGGAAAGTGGATCTGAAGATATTCGATAATACGTATGTAATGACGAACTTTTTGATATTTTACACGCAGCTCATATTGAAACAGGACATGGTGGTAGGAATCGGATAAATCATATGCTAAAAAAAAATTCAAAAATATTAATGTGGAAGCTATAAATGTGTACTTGAAAATGTGTGAAACATGCCAGAAAAAGCATAGTACTCGTATGCCAAAAAAAGGACTCGTTGTTAAACCGATATTGCACAATGAAATGAGTTCTCGATGTCAAATTGATTTAATTGACATGCAATCAAATCCAGATAATGGTTTTAAATACATTATGGTGTATCAAGATCACCTGACAAAATGTGTGATTATACGGCCTTTACGGTGTAAACGTGCAGAAGAAATTGCATATCAACTTCTAAATATATTCACTCTCTTTGTAGCTCCTAGTATACTACACTCTGATAACGGGCGAAAATTTGTAAATAAAATTCAGCATTTCATTCAGGTTAGTTATAATTATTATTAACTTTTTTTCTGTTGTATATTTAAAAGGTATTTTTATCAATTTAATCATATCATACATTTTTAGGTCAAGTAGTATTTAGTAGTTATTATAAAAACAAAAATAAACTTAAAAGTATACAACCGAACAAACACAAATTTTCGTGGTACACCAATGTATAATATAACATTGAATAATTATTATTTGTATTAAAATAATCCTAAAATTGTAATATAAATTTTAAAATAAAGTATAATATAATAAAATAGCTATAAATTATAACTATTTTTTGAATTAGGTATAAAACGATCACCCTATGAGGCAATGTTTGGGTGTACAAAGAAAATGGGACTTGCTACTTCGAGCATACCGAAAAATGTGATAACAAAACTCATTAATGAAGATGACCTTATATCTGTCCTTGAAAACTCTAAAATTACAATTTCTAATAAGAATGAGGAGACGAATACTACTGAAAAAATCAATGAGGACATAGACATTGATCAAAACCAAGGAAAAAAAATCGATATTGAGATCTACAAAAAAAAAGGGGTAGATATAGAAACAAAAATAGACAACGATGAAAAAACAATTATATCGAAGAAAGATAAAAATGAAAAAGTTAATGAAAAAATATTACTTGAACGTTCTACTAAAATTAAACGACAACGAGAAGAGTCACTACAATCTCTGGAAAAACAAGCAAAATAAATGAATAAACAATATCTAATAAACATTTTCCTGCTGCATTAATTGATCAAACAGTGCGAGTGAAAATTCCAGATTTCGACCGATGTAAAATTAATTCTCGCACATTATTGGCTGTAGTTGTTGAGATTATTGACGAAGAATTTTATCGATTAGGATTTAAAGCTGGGATATTGAATCAATTATTCACTAGAAATCAATTTACTTTATGCGAAGAAAAATGTATTTCAATATCCGATGTTCCAAATACGACAACAAGCATACGCCAAGCTGTTGCTCAACTTTCACTATCAGGTGGGCAAGGATTTTTGAGATGTGATTGCCCGAAAAAATGTACAACTAAAAAATGCAAATGCCGCCAGTCAAATGTATTATGTAATAGCAGATGTCATAATAGTACATGTGCAAATAAATAAAAATTTTAAATAATTATTTCTAACTACCAATCAATTTTACTGAATTTTACTTAATTTTTATAAAGAATAAATAATGATTCTGTTTTTAAATGATTTTTATTTTGTATAAAGAATTTAAATATTTGTCGGTAGTTTGTTTTAATAATATATAATTATAAATTTTACGCAGCTTAAATGTTATTTGTCGTATATTGATCAGCTTTTACTAAGTCAATTTGTATATCCTAGAATGTACACAACGTGTTTAGTAAAAACCCGAATAAAATTTAGAATTTCAGCATTTACTGAGTACAAACAGTAAAACCTAGCATTAACTAGTAAAACCTAGGTTTACTTAGTGATCGGGTATTTACGGTAACATATATATATATATATATATATATATATATATATATATAATAATAATAATAAATGATTTAACATATTTAAAAACTGTTAGTATTAACTTAAAAATATTTGAAAAAAAAGGTTACAATTATATACTTTGAAATTGTATACTATTATACCCTAGGATATACATTTTAATATGTTATTCCAAACAAGGGGCATATTTTTCTTTAATTGAGGTCTGAGATTGTAAAGAGTAAAGAATAATTTCATCTCAGGACGCATATATTCTAAATGCGCTACTGTATATATATATATAGTGGTATATATATGTACGTGTATGCACTCGAAGATTACAAAAGTGCAAAACTATACAGGGGCAAACATATTCTAAGCTTTATTTTCTTTGTCTTCATCTCGTTAAATCAAAATTTCAACACAAAAGTTGGTGTATGACATCACATACAATGTTTGGTTAAGATAAAAGTGACGTCAAAGTGGAACAGGATGAACACGTTTTTGATTTATGTACACAATACACAAAATGAGTATCAGTTCACAAACGTAAAATTTAAACACTATTGAACCGAAAGATATTTATTCAGAAAATTTAATTTAATATCCTCTGTTAAATGTTTTTCCATTAAAATACTTATTGATTATTCAAAAATCCAACTTATTTTTTACTTGTTTTAGAGCCCTGGGGTACAAGAGATTTTGAGGTCCTCGAACAATTCTGAGACTATTCCCCTTAAAATAATAGAAAATATTGATATACTCGTATTTAATTTTCTTAATACGAAATGATTCCAATTATATAAGTAATTATGTAATGCTATAATTTCTTTTAATTTTGTTTATTAATTAATTCAATGATAATTAATTGCATTTATCATTACATAGTAAATATTTAAATTTTAAAGAGCAATATGACATGTATATTTTGAATTTTCATGTAAAAATAATATTAGATATGACTTAGTTAATTACTACACTGGTGCCCTTGCCACTGTCTTTATCTCAAATTGAAACAAAAATAACAGTCACAAATTAAAATAATCTCCCAAATCGACTTAAATAAAAATTATTTAATTTCATGAAATAATGCTAAAAATAAATACATCTTAACTAAAAGTTGTCTAAAAACTTTAAATTGTAAACATATTTGACTTGTTAAATAACTTGTTACATAATTTATTTAACTAATGTGTTGTAACTAACTTTACTCCGAACACGATTTTCCTTTAATAATAAATATAGCCAAAGTCTATGTGTAACACATAAACAATATACTTATCGTATGTTCGTCCTAAATAGTTAAATAATAAGTGTACACAATTGAAATTTGCTCAAATATTTTATCATCGTAAGTGGTATTAATAAGACTTTCCTTGATTCCCAGCCGATGTATGGATTGTTAAATTGTTTTATAAACCAAAAGTAATTTATAAGAATCAAATCATTAATTATTTTAGAAATCCTTGAGATTATTGAAAACTTTAATACTATTTAAAATATTGACTATAAAATTTTATGAAATATAAACAATAAATTTAAATTATAATTTTACCACAGTTAATTGAGATAAAATTGTATTATTTATTAATAGATATTTCAGTGAAACTCAATCCAGTTATTATTATTATTATTATTATATAATATTACACTACCATATTTTTTACTAAACTAAATTTTTAATTTTTGTATTTTATTTGTGTAACCGAAAAATAACAAATAGAATCCATATTGAATTGAATGGAAAACATCAGTTATAAATCATTACGATATATTACAACTTTTAATGATCATATAAGATATTGTTATTATATGCGAAGCAAAATATATACTCAACGATTTGTCTCCTTATTTTACAATATAAATAATTTAATGTACTAATCTACAGATAAATTGGTATAGTTATATCTAATAATTTTTAATTCAAATTATTTCCATTCATGAAATTCTTTTAAATTCCGTCAAATATGAGATATACTATTTTGAATGTCCAGAATGAATCACTTTAATATCTTCAGAATCGGACATAATTTTTAAAGTTTTTTTCAGATATGCAAAGTTTCAAGGAATCTATTTTAAAATTTCACCAAACTATATAAAAATAGATGTACGTATATGTAGTCCATATATATGTACATTATCCAACTTTCATTTATTTTCATATATCCTGAACCGAGTCATTGCAATCAACGCATTGGCATAGCCAGATGTCGCTAACGGATTATAACTCCTCCCCCCAAATATCTCTTTTATTTTGTAAAATATATAATAATTTTAAAGCTTAGGTATAATTTTATATTAAATCATAATTTAACTGTTTTCACAGTTTTAATAAACGTTAAACATATTATAAAAATACATTTCATATTTTAACCTGTTTAATTGACTTATCAAAATTAAAAATTTGGTATTTATGTAGAAGAGAATTGAAAATTTAAAACCTTTCAAAATATTTTTTTTACCTATGCTACTGCATTAACATAAATAGTAAAAAGCAATTTAAAAACTAAAATATAATAAATAATTAATAATCTTAACAGTAAAACCAATAATTAATGCATAAATATCTAGAAGAATTGCAAAGCAAATAAAAAATATGTAATTTATATCTATATTAATACATTTTAATTTATTTTCCAAAGCGCTCGAAAAAAAAAATTATTTTAAATTTAAATAATTGAATACCTATTGTCGATTTTTAAACTTAGCAAATACATCTACAGCTTCTTCTACATTAATATTGTTAACTTATTTATTTTTTAAATTAAGTACCATTAGATCGTTTAGCTTTTTATCGCCCATGATAGTGCCTTAATATAACTTTACTCTTTTGAACAACGAAATAAAGCTTTCATTTGATGCCGTTGTAATTGGTAAAGTTTTTACCAATAAAATAATTTTTAAAGTTTCAACAAAAGCGATAGGTAAATTTTTCAGGCATATTTCTATGGTGTCCAAATCAAAATCATGTTTGTTATTAAATAGTGCTATCAGTATTAATAATATAAACATAAGAATTTTAATTTAATTTAAATCGTATTAATAATCTTGTATTATTTCAGCCAATTAGAACAATTTTACAAGTAAGGGTTTATAATCGCACACCCCTTCCCAAATGACGCTCTTGTTTAGAATATAAATGCATTGGTAAAATAATTAAACCATTATTTTTAAGAATTGTAAAACATTTTTATTTTAAATTATCATTTCATATTATTATATTAATATATTAATATCTATTTACACGAAATTCATTTGCGTGTAATATATGCATTAAAATTATGTGTTCTTCATTTCACGGCAGTCCAACATTACGCACGATATACACACACGATGTTGTCCAAAAAAAATAAACGAATCGTTTAAAAATTAAAGATGAGTAATTCGAAATCACTGGGAAAAGCGTCAATATAATGTTATAGTATAAATAAGTAGACTTGGGTAGTATTCTGAATATTCGGAATACTGTATTCAGAATACTTTTTAAATACTTTTTTTAAAAGTATTCAATAAAGTCAGAATACTTTTTAAATGCTTTTTTTGAAAGTATTCAATAAAGTATTTTGAATACTTATAACGAGTATTCTGAATATTATATTTCGAATACCATCAAATCATCTCTTTTTAAAATGATTATATTACTTCTCCGTCGTATATTGTATAAGCTAATATCAGGTGTTTATTATTATTGTAAACCATAAACTATAACAGTTATGTAATATAAAAATACAATAAAATAATATATATTTAATCTACAATTTCAAATATTTCTATTGAGTGGACATCTATTATTTTTATAGTATGATAACTAGAAGTATTTTAAAAGTATTCGAAGTACTTTTGAAATATTCTAAATAATGTATTCGGAATACTATTTTTTGTAAGTATTTGAGTATTTATTCTAAATACTTTTAAAAAGAATTTTACCCAAGTCTGTAAATAAGGATAATCCGCAGAAAACGTTGCCCGTGCCCAAAACGGTTTTCCTCGCTCAGTGATTTCAAATAAATATATTTAAAAACTTGTAGCCACCCTTGACTAAATCTATTTTATCGTTACACGGTTTTTATTATACACTGTTGATGCAGTCCAAATCAAACATTTGAAACCCATTGATTTTGAAAATGCGTGATTAACAGTATATTTATTGTACTCCAAAATGCAGGCACAAATGCAAAGGGGAGAGTTCAAGTCCCAACCGAAATATAAAAAAAATGTTATAATAAAATTACCTGACCCACAAATTTAATAGTTATTTAAAAATTTCCCATGAACTATGCAAATAATGTATATATATATACTCGTAGTACGATGAGTAATAAGACATACTTTTTATCAACATTTTACATTTTACATTTTTTTCAACCCCCCCCCCCCCTCCTATTCCGAAATTTTTTCCGCGTTCTCACAGGGGTCGAATGTTGGAACATTGTTGTTCCGTTCGGGCGACGACAAAACGAACGTTTTCGCAGATCGTGCATTTTTCGTTGTGAACCATCAAACTACTCGTATATCGTTCCGAGCAGTGATGAAAATCGATCGACCGAACGGATCGTGCAAGCGTAGGGAACGGGTCTCTAGTAGTCGGGTGAACCGAATCGGGATGATAATACTCACGGCGTGTCGCAGCAGCGTCGGGCCGAACGTCGGGGAAAACGGTTCAGAACGCGGGAGCACCAGGCGTCCGGTTCGTCGCGGCAACAACAACAACGCAGTTCACGGGCATTTCGCGTACGGCCGCGGTGTGTGGGCAACTGAACGGTCGTGTGTCGCTCGGCGGGCACGACCACTCGGCCGAGGGGGTGCGTGCGCGCAGCAGAGGACGGCAAGGGAAGATAATAATAATAATGCGTTCCGCGCTCCGCGTGTTCTCAGGGCGCAAGCGTCTCAAACGCCAACCCTTCGTCGTTGTTACCGGTGAAGTGTGCACGCGCTCCGGCGGGGGTTTGCAATCCTGGTCGCAGAAACGGCGGCGCATCGCGAAAATCGCGGAGGGATTTTCGCACTCGACAATTATTATTATTATTTTGCGTCACACGGTGATGTAGCACCGTGTAGCACAATAAATACGGTGTAATGTGTCGCGTATTATGTGTATGGTTCGCTCAGCGCTGTACACCGGTCGACGAGATTCAAATTGTTTACAGACCACCGCGGGAAAACTCAAGAGCCAAAAATCAGATTACCGACCGATTTTTCAGTCGACCACATTATAAAGGCACATTTACCCGATGAGTTCGATGTGCACGAGTTGTGCGAATTTTTTATTACATTACCTGATACACACGCACGTTTGCGAATTCAATATAAAACCGCTTTCGATTATGATTTGAAAGCAAAAGTACAATAAAATACAATTTCAATGATACATTATGGTCTGCCGTTATTCGGTGGATCACCGCGGGAACAAATTGTTTTCAAGATCTTATTTTCTTTAAACTATATCGATCGCACCGATTACAGAAATGTAGAACGATTTTGCTAAGTACACAAAATATTTGCGTTTGAAATATTAACAAATTTAATTGACTTCTACAAGTACACATGAGAGTTACGACCGAACCCAGTGTTGTATATATATATATATATATATATATATATATATATATTAGAAATCTTTCGGGAGATAAATCCCCAGAGACAAGAAATATTCACATATCTCATACGTTTTTCATAATTGTTGTAATATTTTATTTTTAACATTTTATACATGAACAAAGTTCAGCTTGTACTTAACCAAGTTCGGCAATTGGGAAAAAATTAAGTTCAAATTTTCGTCTAAGTAAAGTATTGAAAATAAATGTTTGTTATTGGCGTAAGGAAAATGTTCAGAAAGACGTATGCAATGAAGTGTGTCTATTATTTTTAACCAAATACTACTTTGATTAAAAATTATACTGCATATTCTACGAGTTATCACGCTTATATATATATATATATTTTTTTTTTAACGTGAAAGTGATATTGCACCATTTTAATTGAAAAATGATAGAATTATATCTAAAAGGTACTTGATAAATTGTACAAGTAGTCTTGATGCACTCTTTAAATTTTTTTATTATGTAACCGTAATATTTTTTTTTAGATTAGATCATTAGTAGGAGATATATGTCATATTCTGTACAGACAATATATTTTTAAAATAAATTTTTTTAAAACAAACAATTATTGAATACAATTATCACGAATAATTATTAGTCTGGACTGAAGTTTATTATTACATGGATCATAAATCCACGGCATTTTGAAAAAAATAATACTTCTATCCTGACCTCTATAAACACCAAAAATAAAATAATTATTAAAACCTAGTTCTGTATCAGTAATACATTTTTTATTAAATAAGTTTCGGTTGGACTACAATAATCAAATTTGTAACATGGTATAAATAGTAGGATATTATGCAATTTAAAATAACTATCACAGACATTTTGATAAAACCATATAGTTTAATGATTTATGTTATAATTATAAAAGGAATTCAAATAAAATTCGAACGTTATGTACGGATTTTTAGATAGCAAATCAGTATTTTTGTATTGGAGTTGGAGTTTCATAGTTTTATATTTTTCGACAATACATTTCAAATCGAATAATTATGAACGTTGATTTAATGTAAAATCAAAAAAATAATAATTATAATATAAATTTGCGTTTTATTAGCACGAAATTACGAAGTTTGTGACCTATTTTTCATAATTACTAACAATTCTTTTCCTTTTATTTAATTAACTAGGATGGGTCAGTTTTAGTTTGAGATTTTACTAAGCCGTTAAATATTTGGAGGATTTATACTAACATGAATGGCTTTATATAGTCCAATAGCTTTAGACAAATCACCTAATGATAGAAGTCGAAAAGGTTGTTAAATAAAATGTAATGAGCGATCGCGTGATTCAATAACATTATAGACTGAAAAATTCGACTTTAAATTTATCTCAAAATTATGTTTTGTTATATTATATATTATGTTATATTAATTGTGTTAAGTAAAGCAAATTCAGACACCTTGTTAAAAATCTTAGTATTTCAATTAATAAATCTTGATTTTAAATCATTAAATGATTCTATAATTCGTAAAGCCTTGATGACTAAACATTTTATCAATAACTGAAGTCTGAATTTATCAGTTATAACAGATGTTTTAATCTAGTAGTTATATTTTTTTTACATATGTATTTTGAATATCATTGATTCGATAGTCATTATATGTATCAAAATAATATTAAGTATTATTTTCAAACACTTGTATTATTTTTTTTCAGACATTTTAAGTTGTAAATTAAAATAATTTTTATATTTACTTTTCTCTATTATTGTATTACATGAAAAAATAAAGTCAAATCACTGTTTGATAAACATAACTATGAAGTTTTTCACAAATTAAAAGTGCTAACATTTTATACCAATCAACGACACGTTCGTACAAAGCATATAGATATCGAACAGGATGCATGATAGATATAATTTTATCAAGGGAAAATATTTACCCAGGGTCGCATACCAAAACAGTAAAGTAGTCCTTAACAAGGAACTAGAAATTTACTATATTAAGTTACTAATTTTCAAATTCAATTAAAAATATGTAAAATAAAAAAAATAGATCGAAACTTTAAGGTTGATTGAGACACCTCGTTTTTGGGATGAATGAATGTCATTGTTATATTGGTCTTTTAAACTAGAAACTAATGCACTATAGCTCTCGAAAAATTGATTCTGAGTGAAAGAGATCGGGTGGTTTAGTTTTTATTTTTTATATGGTTGATATAATAAAACAAAATATCTTAATAAATTAGAACTTTTGTTGTTCTTGACATTTGTAAAAAAAAAAAGGCATTTGCGATTCGAAAAAATCGAAAATTTCAAGTGCCTATTAACAGCACAAATTTCAATAAAATATTTCGAATATATGAAATGTCTTTATCCAAATAACTAATATTATTAAATAGAAATTCGTTGAAATACGCGATTTTATTAAAATTGTATTTTATAACGCTTATTAATCATTTCTGACTTACCATTTACATTTTTTTTTTTTATTAGCTACAAGGAAAATCTTATAAGAAAACTTATATCTGATTTTAGGTATATTTTAAGTATACTTTAAGCTAAAAAATATTAAGTTTTATGAATTTTAAGCTACAACAATTTAGTGGATTTTCGAAAATCTAGAGATTTTAATTGTTTTGTCAACATTTTATCATTAAAACGCTTATATATATAATTTTTTATCCATATTACCGGTAACATATATATATTTTTTTATATTAGGTTATCATAATATTAACACTTTAATAGTTTTACATAAGTATATTGGTAGTAAATAATTTATTATTTATTATTACTATTTTTATTTTTATCACTTATTGTGTTTATAAGACTTTAATTAGGGGAAAAATATTATTAAAAATATTAAATTTATTGAAATGAAAAAATCAAGATAACAATTTTATTAAACTATCTAATCATAGTGATAAATTTGAGACAGGTTTTCTTTCAATATAAGTTTCCTTCGTAGCTGAATGGTTCCAAATAAATTCTTCAAAATGCATGTTTACTTAGCGCGAATCCGAGGCCAATTCTATCGCTTTGTGTAATCGAGTTATTTTCTCGCGGAACAAATTCCAATAGTCAGAGTGATATAATTAAAAATCGAAGAACAATTAGTTGTTATCTTGTAATTATATCTTCGATTATCAGAGCTCCAAACAGAATAAAAAACGTGACGCAATTATACACAGAAAGCTCATTAGAACAGATAATAGAGATAGAGTAGATGTTTTACGGCGCTCGGTATAGATGATTTTAAGGTGCACGTGTGTAGGAAACCAAAAATTGAGTCATCTGAAAAAGGTCTGCATAATAATTGTTATAATAATGATGTGTATTGTGAGAAAATACTTACCATACAAAACAGCAGTAATGGTAAAATAAATATAACGAATAATCTAATGAAAACACGATTTTTAAACGTGTAACGTATCACATTATTAAATAATCGGTGGTCGCACGTAGTATTCTGTTACAGTAGACAACATGAAAGAGGCATAAAGTGAAATATTTATGAACGTTATGATATTGTTTGATGATTTAAATACACATTACCTATATAGAATAATCTAGAATGGAATTTTTGCTATATTTAAAATAAAATTTTATAAAATTAATTAACTCAAAAAGTAAGTAAAATCCATAAAATTTACTTCTATCGTAGTGCATTAAATTTGTTGGCAAAAATTACCCCATTGAGTGCTGCAGTACCTTGATGTATTATGATTTATGAAGGGATACATGGTATACTTTCAAATGCAAAACAGAGATAAAAATTATGTTAATAGGTTTTTTGATTTTGTAAAAAAAAAAATGTTTGTAAACATTACCGATATTTCACCAAAATAATCTTCATTGTATTTTTTGTTAGTTTTTGTTTATAGTTGAAAAAAATTTAAAATATACTTTATTTAAAAAATTACAAGTATGCCTAATATGTAACTAAGGTACAGTGAAAAAAATTGAATCACGAAAAGTGCCGTTATTTGCAAAAATTTGGTTATCTCTATAGTATAATTTGTATAACATAAAACATACAAAGATACACAATAAAAACTGCTGATTGAACATTAAGTTTTGGACAAATTTATATTTTTGGACATAATTCGTTCAACACATATTTTTAAGAATAAAATAGGCCTTACAAATACAACTTCGGTAAGAGTTGAGGTATAATCCCTTGAGATGTAGTTTGATAATTATTACGATAAAGGTAAA